AGGGGTTCGAGACCAGCCTGGGCAACTTGGTGAGACCTCATCTCTACAATAAATCCAAAATAGGTGGGCATAGTGGTGCGTGCCTATAGTTCAATCTACTTGGAAGGTTGGGGCGAAAGGATCACCTGAGCCCAGCAGGTCAAGGTTGTGGTGGACGTGAGCGTGCCCCTGCACTCCATTCTGGCTTTCACTGAGACTCCAACTTGGAAAAACAAAAAGGCAGAGCATTGTACCTAGTAAGAGCAGTTATTGTTTTGTGAGTGTGTGTGTCTGTATGCCTGTACTGGGAGTGTACTGGGCCACAATATAAAATGTGTTTCTTACTCTTCGTCTAATAAAAACCTCTGGGTTCAAGTGAAGAAGAGGCAGCTAGAGCCCATCTAGTGGGCCGTGAGCCCCTGATGAAAGGCCGAGGGAGCTGATGTGAGGGCCCCTGGGGAATGACCTGGAGGCGAGGGCTTCCTGCTGGGGGGCGGCTGGGCGTCCAGGGCGGGGCGCGGGATGTGACCTGCTTCCTCTGCTCCCCAGGCCTCTTTGGCTTCGTGATCCTCTCCCTGCTGCTCGTGCCCATGTACTACATCCCGGCGGGCTCCTTCAGTGGAAACCCTCGCGGGACGCTGGAGGACGCACTGGACGCCTTCTGCCAGGTGGGCCGGCAGCCGCTCATCGCTCTGGCACTGCTGGGCAACATCAGCAGCATCGCCTTCTTCAACTTCGCGGGCATCAGCGTCACCAAGGAGCTGAGCGCCACCACCCGCATGGTGCTGGACAGCTTGCGCACCGTGGTCATCTGGGCGCTGAGCCTGGCACTGGGCTGGGAGGCCTTCCATGCACTGCAGATCCTCGGCTTCCTCGTCCTCTTGATGGGCACTGCCCTCTACAACGGACTGCACCACCCGCTGCTGGCCCGCCTGTCCAGGGCCCGGCCCCCAGCAGAGGAAGGCGAGCAGGAGAGACTGCTGGGTGGCGCTCTGGCTCAGACTCCCATCAACGACACCAGCTGAGCCTCCTTTGAGGTTTCTGCTGCCTCCTGGGAGCTTCTTCCTCACCCTGAGGCTGAGGCCGTGCAGGCTGGTGGGCCTGAGTGCCCTGTCCCCAAGATCTTGCCCTGCCCCACCCCCAGCCCCCCAGGGCAGCTGCTACCACAGCCGGTAACAGAATGCCCAAGGCCCTTCTCACACCACCTGCAGGGTGATGTTACCCAGGTCCGCTGCTCTGCTGCTCTGACTGACCCCAGCCCTTGTAGCCCCTCCTGCAGCACTAAAGCTAACTCTTCAGTGAATCGGCAGGAATTTACAGCCCAAGTATTTCTGAATCATAACTAGATTGTCACAATAGACTGTCTAGTTTATGAGTCATAAGCTAGATTTGGTTCTCTAAAAAAGAGAAGTGAGTGAGCAAGTTCAAACCAGAACTAAGCACTGTTTTCTAAAATGTGTAAGGTATTCCCTAAAGTTGTCTGGAGGCCTGGGTTTCAGCTCAGACGCAGCTGCAAACTCAGTGTTTACAGTCCCAGCAATTGCCTGGTGGCTCTGGGCCTTAGTGTTAGGTTCTGGGAAGCAGGTGCTGATACTGTAGCCTTTGGTGCCCTCTGACCCCAGCCTCCTGTGGGCCTATGAGTGTGACCAGCCTGCAAAAACAGTAACAGCCCATCGCTGGAAATGCCAGTGGCGCCTCCCCTCTCCCCTTCTGTGCCTGTTTGTTGTGCTTGTTCACACACCCCAAGGCCTCCATGCTTGAGAGAGGTTACAAGGGAAATTGCAGGTGACCCTAGACAATCATTTTATGAGCTCTTTACCTTCCATTCTAAAGATGAGGAAACAGGCCCAGAGTTGTGAGTTGTTAGTTGTTTGGCAAGAGGGATCTCCTGTCCTCAGCTCTGCCCAGGGGGAACCCCAGCCCATGCAGCCGATTCTGTAGCAGACTGGGACCTGGAGCACATCAGGATCTCAGCCCGTTCCAGCAACCTGTCCGCAGAGACAACCCCCAGGACGATGGCCTCACCAGTGTTCTGCCATTTAGGGTGATTCTGCTGTCCTGGACATTGTGTGAAGTGACAACTTTTATTCTCATAACAGCTCTCAGGGGTAAATAAACCCAGGCCCAGAGAAGGTTAAGTGACTGCCTTCTGGAGCCGGACCTGAGGTCCCACCTACCACGCAGATCCATGGGGTCTCCAGGGGGTCCACAGGATTCAGGTGCTGTTGTGCTCCAGGTAGCCTCACCCTAAAGAGAAGGATTGTGTCAACTAAGCAGTGTTCCAGTTGCTCACCAGAATGGTTGAGTGCAGCCTCGGCCATTTCCCTGGGCAGTTGAGTCATAAACAAAACACCAACCGCCTTCCTTAAAATAGCCTGAGGGAAAGAAGCTCTTGCCGGGCAAAGTCCTCGGGTTGTGTGGGATTCCAGCAGTTCCTACAGCTTGTTGGCAGGGGAGGCCCATTGCACGAGCTCTGAGTCCCAGGGACTCCTGAGTGTCTCTGGGCTACCGGGTCTATCACAGGAAGAAGGACGTGAAGATTAGGTAGAGACCCCAGCTGCTTTGTCCAGAAAACCTGGGGCCTTAGAATGTTGTTTTGGACTTTTTTTTTTTTAAGGAAAATTGGCAGTATTGGATTCTTTTTTTTTTAATGAAAGAGAAGAGCACAAGAGAGTAGGGGGGGTGAGCTAGAATGTTGGAAGGAAAAGCTCATGTGAAAGCATAGGCATCCTCTAGTCTTCCACTCACTCTTCAGATGAAGAAACAGAAGCCCAGAAAGGGGAAGGGACTTCCCCAAGGTCGCACAGCCAGTTACAGGCAAAGCCAGTTTCCTGGTTCTCAGTCCTTGCCCATTCCATTCTGCCACAGATAGTGTAGCCTGGAGCCCACATGAGAGTCAGGACTGCTCCTGCTGTGGCTGCCCTACCTGTGTGCCAAACTGAGCAAACTGTTAACGAGGGTGTTAGGGGAACCCTTGGCCTTTATTTGAATGCTATCGTAGGAGACTGTTGGCTTTGACACTTAAATCATTGGGGGGTTATAATAGGAGGTGGTGAGGGGTGGCAGAGCACAGGGAAGGGACCCCTGTCGGACCTGCCACCAACTCAGGCAAGTCACTTACCTCCAAGCAAGTTGGGTATTCACATCTCTACAACAGGCAAACAAGCCTCGGTCTCATAGCCTAGTTGTGAAAATTGCAGATTTGTAGGTGCTTGGAAACTGCCAACGCCCGGTGGAGCGTTGTGTAGGGCTGGCTCTCCACAGGGGTGGTGCATCTCAGTGGCACACAGGTCCCAGAAGAAGCACTGCTCATGGCACCACTTTTCCTCAGAGGGGGAGAAATATTTTATCAAAAGACCATCATGGAGTAAAATGTAAAAGTCATATTGTTTATAAATTAAAGATGAAACCTGGAGACGTGTTTATGCTGACAGTGGCTACCCTCCCAGATCCCGGAAGATGAGTGTGTTTAGAGGGTGACTTCGTGAGGCCTGGCCACGTCGGGCTGGTCATGTCTGAGGGAGGTAAGGCTCTTCAATCCTGCGAAGGGTTGTGGGAAATGTCTAGCTGTGGCCTGTCATTCCGGATGGTAGGAGTTTGGCAAAGAGGCCCTTAACCTGAAATTAGAATTGACTGATCGCAAACTTAAAAGAAGTGGTTTAATTACAGTCTAACTTAAGTAGTCTATGTTTTGTTGAACTCACCAGTTCCTGCCCTACCCAGAACAGTCCTGGAGGTCCCTGGAGAATGGATTCGTTGTCAGGCTTCTCTTCTACAGGCGTCTGCCAACAAGGCAGAGATTTAGGATTTAGGCTCCTCTTGCCTTCACTTTGTCCTAAGGCCTCTAGTTTTGCAAGCAATAGCACTCAAGGAAGCCAAGCTCTGATCCCTGTTAGGGATGGTGGGAGGGGTAGGGAACTGGTGTCCTCAGCTCTGCCCAGCCTTGACTGGGTGACCTTGGACAAGTCATGTTGTCAAGACCTTGGCTGCCTATAAAAGGGAGAGGTTTTTTTTTTTTCTTTTTTCTTTTTGTGTTAGTCACTCTGTCACCCAGGTTGGAGTACAGTGACATGCTCATGGCCACCACAACCTCCATGCTGGGCTCAGGCAATCCAAATAACTAGATTCACAGGCATGCACCACCCGGCTAAATTTTTTTGATTTATTGTAGAGATGAGGTTTTGCCAAGTTGCCCCAACTGGGTTTCGAACCCCTGAGCTCAGGCAATCCTGTCACCTCCACCTCCCAAAGTGCTGGGATTACAGGTGTGAGCCACCACACCTGGCTAGGGAGAGAGAGGTTCTTAGCATTCCAAAATGTGTTCACATCCCTAACCTGTTTGTGGATTGTTATTCTTCCATATTTACCTTGGTTCGGTGACCCTCTGGTCTTTAAACTTGATGTCAGCAGGGGGTTTCCTGTGTAACCATAAAAGTGGGAAATTATCGCGTGAGCCCCAGCAGGTCGAGGCTGCAGTGGCCGGGAGCGGGCGACAGAGTAAGACTCCAACTCAAAAAAAAAAAAAAAGAAG